GACTCCAAAGAGAGTGTGCTGCATGGAATTGTCTGAAAATAAGGTACCGCAAGATTTGATGGCTAGTCAGTTTATTCATGATTTTCCATTTCAAAATGTGGCCATGTGAAGGTTAATCGGTTAATCCCACATTTTCAGACACGGCCACATAGTTTCGGCCTTCAAGCCCCTATCATGGATCCTGCTCTCTGTCTACCAGCCACACTGCTAAGACTTGGCTCCACATCTAGCCACTATCTGCAGTCTTGTGACCTTTGCAACCAGGATCAAAGATCAGGCGAGATGCAAGACACTGTTAGACAGTCCAAAATTGTCTGATACGAGAGCAAGGTGGAAGCTGGTATGTTGCTGTTGATTGCGCTCCTCTACATTGTTGAAGTTTACTATAGTTTACTTCTGCACTGCAACTCAAGTGATCTGCATACTTGTTTGATTTCTACCTACCTGCTCCTTTCTGTTACAGTTTGATTCAAGCATCCTTCGATCACGACTCTGTTGGGTACATCAATTTCAGAACACGTACGGCCACTAGAGTGGCCACCAAGGTGAAACCCGAGCTTGCTGGGTTGATGTTCAACTGAACCAAAAGAAGTGTGTGTGAACATAAAATACTCACATACCCAAAATATCATGCATGTTATCATGAAATTATGTTCTGGTTTCCTCATAAAAACTGCCAAGAAATAGGATATCTCCCATGCTTATACATTCCTCAACAAACTCAAATCGATCTTGGAGCCGCTGTGCCTGCACCTGCAAGCAAGCTAACAATCAATGGCCTGGAAGCAATAGCAAATCGGCTTGGGGCGTGTGGAGCAGGGCATGTTAAGGAAAGTGTAGACTTCTTGGCCACAGATATGATTACAGTTTACAGTAATGAACCCTCATTTCACTGAAAAGCAATCAAGGTTTCCTGTTTGACCTCAGCAAACCCACAAATGCTCTTGCAGCAGTCTACCTGTTCTTGTCATACTTTAGCCCGCAAGGGCACAACAGAAGGACGATCGGAACAGCGTTCACTTTCCGCTGGGTTGAGCGTTGCTGTTTTGGGATGTCAGTCTGTTGCCAACGTGGGCAGCAACAAACCTGAACCTTTGTTCACCCTCTGGACCACAACAGCGGGTCAGGGACCTGGTTCCGTGGGCTCAAGGGAATAACTGTACATGAACTTCAAGAAACATCTGATGTCAAAGGCCAAGACTGAGTTGCCTGGCTCAGATGCGAAACAGAATCACTTGGCGAGGGTCTTACCGACCATGATGCAGAAAGTCAAGCTCAGGGCAACAGGCGTCACGATGCCCGAGAACATGTCGCCATGACCCATCGTGGGGTACTCCCTGCCAAGGGTGTATCCTGCCGGCAAAGCACATAAGCCGAACAAAAGTCAAGCACACTTGAGCAATGATCATAGCCGGAAAGCATCCTACATCTGCAATGCCAAAAAAACAGACCAAAGGTGCCTTGAAATCAATGCAAGTCACTGCCCATCAAAGCAGAAATCTTAGACATTCCCAATTCCAACCCTGAAAAACCCTGGTCTTTCCCTCACCCTCAGGTCCTCTGCCGGATTCTGAGTTCTCAACAGGACCCTGTGCGGCGTACGGCATTGGTGTCCCGGCACTGCGTGCACGAACTCGTGCCAGCAAAGTACTGACGGAGTTCTGGTGTGCAAGCTGACTCACCTGCTGTCCTGGGTTCTGCATTATCCCGGGACACAAAGTTTTCTGCGGTGCGCAGCAACTAAGAGCGGGGACCTGGCACTCAACTTGAACCACAAGGCAAATGCGAAGCAATGTGATGTGCACAGCAATCAAATTCTACAAACACGATTTCACTTATTCCTCTGTGATTTATCATATCTACATAAGTATTAATGTATATTAGATTCTATTAGTAACTAGTAGACATGGACTACTAGGTGCTAATGTATTTCAACTCCACAGCTCAGCCGAAGTTGGCAAGTGGGTCCTCTTTGTCATGCACCAAGCCGTTGTCTCTCACGAAGGCCCCAGCAAATCTTTCGAATCATGTTCGCAGTGAAACCGATGAGAAATTTTCAACGACTGTGGCTCACAGTCGTATTCATACTGTATTCACCTTTACACCTTTACCAAGAGTGATCAGATTGAAAAGTTGTTTGACCTTCGCTTTGAGCCCTCCCTAAGTGTTGCCAGAGCAGTCATGCAGATCCCATATGCCTCCGCCATGCTCGACTTTTATGGTGATGCCTGGTTTCGTCCCAGAGATCTGGTGGTGATTTTTGATGATTTTTGGGGGTTCCCAAAAGAAACACAAGTTCACAACAGAATACCGTTCGTTGTTTTTGTGTTCACAACGAAAACACAACGAAAACACGCACAAGTTTCTGCATTGATTGATGATTTCAAACCTGTGGGTAATTTTTGTCCCGAAAAACACTCCGACTCTGAATACCTATATTGTCTCTGAAACACAAAACAATATAATGACACAATCCATCCGGCCAAAATTGAATCCTTCATTTTTGCCCAAATGTATGACTGAACCACCTGGACCAAATGTTTTGGCCACAATTCAGAACCAAACAAAACCACGACATATCACTTCGCAACACGTCCCATTACCGTCCAGCTGCCTTTGCGGAGACCGTGAAATTGTTGCGGAAGCTGCGGCCGTGGCAAAGATAAAAGGATGGACGCCATCCAAAGGGTATCATGTTTTTCAAACGTAGAGGTTGGTTACGGGTAAAAAACCTGGAATCCCAACCATTCACCCATAGAACTGTATCGTGTTTTTCCATTCTTTGGACCACTGCCGATCTTTAGTTTCAGCGACCAAAACACCAATTGGATGAAACTACTTGTTTTCTGCATCATGCAGCCAGAAGTATACAATTTCTGATCATGGCAGGTGTCCTTTTGGTGTACAATATTCAATTTTTTTGCGTTAACACTGACATACCCAAATTAAAACATGCATTTCCTTGGTGAATATGGGAACAACCAGCATTGTCTGCACACCGTGGCATTTTGATCAGCCAGAAGTGACTTGCAAAGTATCACAAATCAAAATGCATCATCACATACCACTCGCCCCAACGTTGGGTTGCCCGGCTGCCACAGAGATACGCCGACATGACGACTGTGACACAGAACCTTATGTACAGTCCAGTCCAAAACAATTTCGTGAATTGCGCATGTGTTGCAAAATTGTGGTGCATTTGAACGAGTTGAGGCACCTAAAGTATCCCCATGAATTGATCTGAATTTGAAATTAATTATGGCCATGTATGCATATCAAACACCATATCCTAAATTGTATTGTGGAAATGTATTTCCCACATATTCATCTTGCAAACCAGATTAGGACTACAATAGCAGAAAACAATGAAACCCCAACTGGAACACGGCCGAAGAGCCAAAAATATCGCAAAATTGGCACCTGATGTTCTTCAAACCATTCACATCCATTCACAGTGTTGAGAAGATGGCCTGCACTTGTCATGCTGTGATGTTCCCAACATGCAAGATTTTAATGTTTGTTTGTATATAATTTATGTTTGGTGCTAAGATTGTGAAACCATTCGCATAGTTGTTGGCTTTGACAAAACAATTGGGTACAATATTTTTCACGATGTCTACCAGTGGAATCGAACCATGAACGCCCACCAAAACATGAATTTGCAACCAACAAAAATGCAATTTTGAATGCTATGCCAGGAAGGTTTTGGAACTGAAATGACTCACAAAAAAAAACAAAGTTAAACGTTGAGGCTATTCATGTTTTTTCTTCTGATTCGTGAGAGCGCCACGTGGAAGCCGTGCATTCACGTACAATTTTCCGTAGTGGATGTACGGGCATGTGATGGGCTGGGATTGGGGTGTGGGAGTACCCTTCATATTCCAACATGAACTGGATACTATGGTAATACTACGTTATTATATGTTATTATGTTCTTGGTCCATCTGCTGCAGTGATTCAAGAGAACTTGTGATCAACATCTGTCGTGCCAATAATGCTCAATAATGTTCCACATCGCATCCTCCCGGACCGTTCAGCTCTGTTTTTCGATTGGGGTGATTGGTATGTATTGCCACGAAAAAATCGGATTCTGACAAGTGAATTTGACATGTTTGTCATGAAAGTTGTCATGCATGCCATGTGTGTTGCATGTCAATTGACTGATGTAAAATGTGAATGTCATGTCGAACATGTCATGTCAAACATGTCCTGTCAAACATGTCCTGTGCAGCACTTGTTGCCATGTTTCATTTGAAGTTTGAATTCAGAAAAACATGACACATCGAATTTCGATCATGTAAACGTGAAATGAAAATCATCTGCAGACACTCTCCAAAGATCGTTTTTGACCTGAGAAGGGGGGGGTGAAAGCCAGCCTCCAAACAAATGCTCAGGCGGCGTTTTTTTTTTTGCGCTTTATGCTCTGTGTGTTGCATCTGAGAGCTGTGGACCACATAGATCAATTTTTCGCTGCTGGCCGTTTCACCAACAGCAACCAATCCTGTTGTTGCGGCTTGGAGGATTATCCCAGAAATATTGCATGGCGAATCTTCCAAACCTTGGTGTTTCAAGGTGGTTGGAGATAGTTTTTATACGCCCCATGCATAGCAAAAGAATGAAGGATCAAACGACCCAATCAAGGGTTTCACACACAAACATATTTAGACAGAGACGTTTTTACACGCAGACCCTTTTACACAAACACACGTTTTTTCACACAGACCCTTTTACACACAGACACGTTTACACACAGACACTTTTACACACAGACCCTTTTACACACAAACATCTTAACACAGAAACACTTTTGTCACAACGCCTTTACACACAAACAGCTTCACACAGCGACGTTTTTACACACAGCACACAGACCCTTTTACACACAGGTCCTTTTACACACAGACGCCTTGACACACAGACGTTTTTACACACAGACCCTTTTACACACAAACATCTTTACACAGAAATGGTTTTACACACAGACCTTTTTACACACAGACACTTTTACACACAGACCTTTTTACACACGGACCCTTTTACGCACACACACGCTTTTGCACACAGACCCTTTTACACACAGACACTTTTGCACACAAACACTTTTACACACAGACCCTTTTACACACAAACAGCTTTACACAGAAACACTTTTACACACAGACGCCTTTACACACAGACGTTTTTTTCACACATACCCTTTTACACACAAACATCTTTACACAGAAATGCTTTTACACACAGACCCTTTTACACACAGACACTTTTACACACAGACCCTTTTACACACACAAACGTTTTTTCACACAGACCAAAGAGTTCTGCTCTAAGACCTGATGTTTCTTGCAATTTCTTGCGTTCATACCTCCAGAGCGTTGCTTCTATCTTGGAACATGTGTCACTTGCCATTAGGTTTGGAAGCTCCATGTGAAATGCAAGGGATCATCTTGAAACCGAGTCAGAGACTGTTACGTGCATTGGTGGCTTTGAGATGGAGCCAAGCAAACGAAAAGGATTCATAATAGCAAGTTGCACACAAATACATACCTACCAAATAGAATAATGAAGACAGGAAGGTTCCTACAGGTATGTATCTAGCATAGAGAGAGAGAAAGAGAATATACATAAAAGGATCAAAAGAGGCATCGATGACGATAATATGCTCCAGTGTACCTATCTCCATTGACCTGTTGCTCGCGTGGCCTACCATCACGCGTTTCCCTCATTGCCTCGAGAAAAATTTGAGCCCCAAGCAGCTCAGCCATTCCACGGATCTTTTTGATTACAGTGCCTCAGTTGCCCTTCCGGTCGCCATAAGCCACAAAGCTTCATTGAAACCAAAACGTTGCGCTTCTGCAACTTGATACAAAAAAATGAACCTAAACACGATCCCAAAAATGGGACCGCCTGGTGGTCCCATTTTTGGGACCGCATGCACAGCTCAGTAAAAGAACAATAATCCCATTTTTGGAACCTTCTGGGGGACCAAAAATGAGACCGCAAAATCGCAAAAACAGCAAAGACCCGTGCAACAAACAAAAAATGACAACTGCGTTTAGTTGAGCAACAAGCATGTAGAGTTGGAACAGAGGAGGCCCGCAAACGCGAAGCCTGATTTCAATGGACTTTCTGGCCCCAAAAAAATGGAACCTGAAAGCGCACATTTTTTTTTCTCCGGTTTGGCCGATCACGCTCTAAGGCTCGGTCCTTACATGAGAATAAGCTATTATCGAGAAAACTTCAACATGGACACAGGTGGTCGCATGCGAATTGGCAAATCATGACCACCAAACACAAAACACCACAACCAAAGGGCAAGACGCAGATCCCCCAGCCAGATTTGCGTCTCACCATCACAAGGACAGCAAAGAAAACAGCGAAAGGGGCAAGAGCCCAACAGAAACAACCACAGAAGATTAACCCACTGTGTCGCAAACTCAAAAACATGCAGCAAACGAATTAATAGCCACCCAATGAAGTGAGACGCGCGATCGTCGTTGTTGCCAAGAAAGCAACAATGGGTCGCATTTGCTGTACACTCTCGCCTAACCAAGCCTCTCAGAGTCCTCTCACAAGTACTTGTTCATGTGCCCATGTACAAAACACGAGCAGGTACCATAAAACGCCAGCTGTAGCAGGGGAAAGATGACGTTGGCGGCCAGGTGTCATCACGCCCCTCCCCATTGCGGGGAGCGGCCCAGTGGCTACGACAAAGCGGTCACACAGGGCCAGGTAAGTGACCATCCGTCAAAAGCCACAAATA